GGAACTGGGAAGGGAAAAGCTTGTGGTACATGAGAACTTATTTTTTTGGAATTAGGGACAAGGCAAAGATCAGGGCCCTGTCTGTGTGCATGTGAGAAACACAGGCAGTGGATCTGGAGTGAAGCAATGAGCTCTTATTTTAGGTGGAAATCATTTTTTCATTAAGTAACTCTGAAAGTGCAATTAAATCTGGTGAGGTGGTAAGGCTGTCTTCTGTATCCGACAATAAAGGAGAGGTGACATCCCAAAACTCCCAGGACTGAGTCAGTGGCTCTGGTGTCCAGAAGGAAAGGAACGGATCGCTTCCCTCCTGCATCCTGGGTTCCCTGCCATGTCTGTAGCCAAGCCTAGGTCTGTTGGAGGTCTTAGCTTGATGTACCCATGCATCTTGGTGACTGGGGCAGTCAGCTGACTCTTTGTCTTTCTAGGCGGCACTTTTAACAAGGCTGTTGATGGCCTGGCAGGGCATTCATTAGCCCGTGGCCTTTTCCTCACTTAAAACAGGGACCCAATGGCTTTCGGGAGTCAGCGAGTGCCAGCACTTGGCAATTTTGTTTTCGGGCTTTTATCTCTTCCCTGGCACACCTTAAATGCCACTGATGACTCTTGACTGTGGGGTCAGGAGCCTTGCTCTCCAGATGCTGAAGTTTTAGTCGGAAAGGTCTAGGGAACAAGAGACAGATTTTACTCCATGTCCTGAAATTTTTTTTCCCCTGATGATTGTTGGCTTAAGGACAGCTTTTGGAAGATCTGCCAGTAGGCAGACTATGAACTGATCCCTTTGGAAGGCTTGTCTGAGGCTATAAGCTGATTTTTTTTTTTTTTTTTGGCTTAAGAGCCATCCTGACTTCTGTAAACTTATTTGTATGGATCTTAGCTGCTTCCAGACCCATCTGTGCTTCTCAAGGCAGTGTGAGAATTGGTGGGTGGCGTTAAGGTGAGTTAGGGCAAGTCGTAGAAACCGCCCAAGCCCGCCCATTTGAGCCCGCCCACTGCCAGCGGAAGTCAGACAGAAAAGGTTACACTTGCAGATGCAGAAGTGGGGAGGGAGAAGGGTTTAGAGCTTTAGCAGAAGTCTTGGAGATAAAGTAACTCTTATTTGCCTGGTCGCTGGCAGAAGTGCCCGCGATGCTGTTATACGGCCAAGTTTACGCTGTTATGTGGTCAGGTTTACCGGTGCCCACCCCATCCGACGATGTAGGTGGCAAATGTATCCGCCCCTTTGTCTCATGGCTGTAGCTGAGAGAAAAATAAAAAATTAAAAAAACAAACCGGGATCAGACTACAATCTCGGGCGTCCCTGAGAGTGGAGAGAGATCTATGAATCAGCTCAAGTCGTGAGTCCTCTTCGATTAGGGAAGGTGAGGACTCGGCTGTACTGCAGTTGGTCCACCGTTGAACCCTAGACACCATTGACCCCCTCGTCAGGAGCGGAAATGTGCCTGCCCTTGCCAGTACAGCCCGAGGACAACCCCCGGGTGTCCATCGCCAAGAATATAGCTCAGACTACAGCCGCGAGAACGGCAGACTCACTGTGGTGACGGAAGCGGTGTGGGGGTCCAGAAGAGGCAGCGGTGAGGGGCGCGCATGCTCGCAGTCTCGCTGGATGGGGGAGGAGGCGGCAGGCGGCAGCGGTCACAGCAGGTCCTCGGTGCTTGGTGCTGTATCTGAGTCACCGCACCAATGTTGGTTAAATGGTGCGCTGCTTGTGGCTAGACCCGCCCCTCGGTGGCCATGCCAGTGGAGGAGAGTGCTGATCGGAAGAATCACAGTCATGGTTACCTTTTTAGAGCTTTATTGGGAGAGGTGGGGGAAGAGAGAGGGAGAGAGTGAGAGAGAGGGAGAGAGAGGGAGAGAGAGGGAGAGAGAGGACAGACGGAAGGAAAGAGCAGAAAGGAAAGAGAGGGGCGCACAGAGGGCCCACTGTTTTTTAGGCTGGGACGCCATCGCAGGCTGATGAAGTAATTAAGGACAGAATCCTTACATCTATGAAATTTTAGTCTGTTGAAAATGTGATATACCAACAATTTACACTTTTTCTTGAGACATCTTTTCTGGATGATTTGTCCTTTTTCTTCACATGTCTCATCTGGTCTTCAGATTCCTCAGCTGGACGCCTTCATTCTCCTGAAAAGACAAAACCAAAACCCTCCCCAGCCCTGACTTTAGGGAGGTTCCCTTTTGACACGTTTTATCTGACCGAATGAGAAGCATTTGTTAGTCATGTACATTAGTTTAGATTGAGGTCATGCTGGTTGCTGGACTGTCGCCCCTCTAATTGAGAGGTCTCTCTTGTTCCAAACCCTGAGTGGATGATGCAGCAGAGCACCGTGGAGGCACCCATGTGCCTCAGCAGGTCAGAGAGCTTGAACTCTGATGACCTGAGTTCAGTCCCTAGTACACACAGAGTAGACCTCCCCCCACGTTTTCCTTAACAAAAATATAATTTTTCACATTTAAAAGAACAATTTTTATTTTCTTTAACTTTTAGAACTTTGTTTTGTATTACTATTGTGTGCCGTGTGTGCACACGTAGGGCAGGGTACGTATGCCGTGTGTGGCCTTCAGAGGCCGGCTGTGTGTGATGCTGGCCTCTCCGCCATTGCTCTCCACCCCACTTTTGGGGGAAGGGTCTCTCACCCAGTCTGAAGCTTGCCCGTCTGCCTGTCCAGCCAGGGCGCCTCTGGCGTCTCCCTGGCTCCCAGAGCCGAGCCATGCAAGGCTGTGTCTGGTCTTTGAATTCACCTTTTGCTTGCACAGCCCATGCAGTCACCCCACAGGGTCATCTCCCCTGGACCCCTAAACAAGCAGCGGGCACAGTGGCCCAAACCTGTGTGTCTTAGTCACAGTTCTTCTATTGCCGTGACAAAACACTGTGGCCAAAAGCAAGTTGGGGAGGAAAGGGTTTATTCGGCTCACACTTCCATATTGTTGTCCATCACTGAAGGAAGTCAGGACAGGAGCTCACACAGGGCAGGGCCTGGAGGATGAGCTGATGCAGAGGCCATGGAGGGTGCTGCTCACCGGCTTGCTCCTTATGGCTTGCTCAGCTGCTTTCTTATGGAACCCAGGACCACCTGCCCAGGGATGGCACCACCTGGAATGGGATGGGCCTCCCCATCAATCACTAATTAAGAAAATGTGTTAATAGAGACCAGCCTGGTCTACAGAATGAGTTCCAGGACAGCCAGGGCTACACAGAGAAATCCTGTTTCAAACCACCCCCCCCCAAAAAAGAGAAAGATAGAAATGCCTTACAGACAGATCTGTGCAGGCATTATTGCAGTTCCCTTTCAGGTAACTGTAGTTTGTGTATCTAGTTGACATGGGACCAGCACACCTGTCATCCCGCCACATATACCCTGAGGCAGGAGGACTGCTGTGAGTTTTAGGAAGGATGGGGATCGGGAGATGGTGGGGTGCAGCCATGTGTGCCCACCGGTGCCATAGCAGCGTGACAGCCGTGGGCTCTTTCATGCTCATTGCACAGGTTTGAGCCCTGCTGCAGCGGAGGACTTGAGTCTGTGGCAGGGAGGGAGGGAGGGAGGGAGGGAAGGAGGGAGGGAGGGAGGGAAGCGATAGGTTCTCTGTACCCCGAGAATAAGTAACCCAGATAAAGCCAAATTAAAAAGTAATATTTGGGCAAAGCGCTCCCAGGGGACCCTCCAGCCCCCAGAGACGAGGAGGGGAAGGAGCAGGAGAGAAATCACATGACTGGTCTAGAGGAGGGGGCTTGAATACCCTGTGGGTGTGAGTGATGATGCATCCTCCCGAGGCTGGGTTTGTGCCCAATTGTAATGCTTTGGGTGGAGACTTGGGGGGCTGGCAGCCTCAGGGAAGGAGCTGCTGTGACCACCAGGAATGCAGGACTGGGCTTCTGGGGGTCTTTATGAGAGGACAGGGTTTGTGGGGGGAGAGATGGGACCAAGCTGGAGATTCCAACCGAACAGGAAGGAGGGAGGGATGGAGGGAGGGGAGGAGGGAGGGAGGGAGAGAGGGAGGAGGGAGGGATGGAGGGAGGGATGGGAGGAGGGATGGAGGGAGGGATGGGAGGAGGGATGGAGAGAGGGATGGGAGGAGGGATGGGAGGAGGGAGGGAGGGAAGGAGAGAGGGAGGGATGGAGGGAGGGATGGGAGGAGGGAGGGGTGGAAGGAGGGAGGGAGGAGGGAGGGAAAGAGAGAGGGAAGGGCGTGAATGTAAAGGGAAAGTTGGCATGGGAGGAGATAGAAACGAAGGAAAGGGGAAGAGAAGGGAAATTTGTCAGAGCTGTGTGTGAAAGTGTCTGGGAGAAGGCATCGTCCTCCAGTGGACACAGGCTGATGCAGCACACCTTATTCCCAGCACCCAGGAAAAGGCGGGTTATGGTTAGGATCCTGCCCTCCCTCCTGCACTCTCGCAGTTCGGGGTTTCATGTCTTGCGTCATCAGTGTGCACTGGTGACTACGTACCTGCCTTTCATCCTCTCTGCTCTGCTCCCCCACACACCATCTCTCTCTCTCTTCAGGCCTGGCTCTCCTCTTCCCCTCCCTCCCACCTAATAAAGCTCTGAAAACTACACTGGGTTCCGGCGTGACCGTGACCTTTCCTCGCGGTAACCAGCGCCGCCACCAGCACCGGTTATCATCCTTTCATTGGTGCCGTGACTCAGATAGGAAATTCCGCTCACTCAGTGTCCGGGGCTGAGTGTTGTCGGGAACCTATACCAGGGACCTGCGACTGCCCACCGCACATTTGTCCAGCCGCCGCCGCAGCCGCCACCACCGCAGCGGCCACCGCAGCCG